TTCGTTAACTTATATTTATTTGTAACAGAGTAACAAATCTAAGAAAAAATGATTTTTTTTCGTCAGAAGTATAGACGTTCTGGTAATGTACCTACTAAATGAATCGAATTGATTCTTATATGTATTTAACATGCAAGATTAGTTTTTAAATATATATACATATACAGGGTGACTGGTGAATTACTATCAATATTTAAGGAGAATACTCGGTACATGATTCTCATTCGAATTATGTAAAAAAAATAGGTACTTAATTTTTGACAAAATTTCCGTATAAATAAATAAAGTGTTGACACGTTCCAAGTGTTCCAAGTGTGGACGCGTGCGACGGCGTGCTGATACAACAACACGCCCCCGCCGCGTATGTGTGAGTGCTTGTGTATACCTAATCTGTAGGGTGTTCACACGATGCGTAATTAATTACATAACTTTTGGTTAACTTTACTTAGAAGTTTATTAATATTTATGTTATATTAATTTTTATTTTGTCATATATGATCGTCAACTATCACGTCCTCAAATATCGATAGTAATTCACCAGTCACCCTGTATATGTATATATATTTAAAAACACTGAAAACTGCTATTATTTTATACATTCTGCATTGAAATTTTGTTGTTGTTCATATAATAAATATAAAATGTATCAGTATATAACAATATAGTTATTATATTTCCTATGAAGAAAAAAAACAAAGAGAAATATTACCCTTGAATTTCAATACATCGAAAAATATGAACATCAGTAACAAATCCAGCCGACAAACAGTATGTAGCCCTTCCTTTTGAGAAAAAAACATCGTACAATAGATGAGGGACCATTTGTAAACGTCAGGCTAACATGAGACACGACGGATTCTGCATTATTAGACTTGGTAATTCTTGGGATGGCCTCCTTTACGTCAGCGGGCGTCTCATGAACTATTGGTTTATACTCCGTATACGATTCGTTTGTTCCGTATATATTTCATTTTAATGTAATTTTTTACACTATAACTTTCATATATTTTTTTATCATAAATTTATTTTGCTATATAAATATTAATAGACGTAAAAATGTTAAGGCATAAGGAATTGTAAAAATTTTGGTATATACGAAAATTTATATAATAGTAATTTTTGGATGCAACTTTGCTCGTTAATTTAGTACGGATCTTTGAGATAACTTAAGTGTATATTTAAAAAAAATAGATGTAAGTAAAGCGACTCGCTGTATCTGAACCAAATGAATTTATACAAAAACAACGATTATACCTTGTTCCCACAAGAAATATAATTTCCGGAAGAATTTATAACCTTCTCGTTATTATGACCTATGATCAAATGGATTGTAATATTGTATTACTTTTAGCGTAAACAAACACACACAAATAGATCCATTCATCTCCTTATGTATAATATAAATAGGACAACTCACTCGAATTACTCAAAAAATATATATACAGGGTGACTGGTGAATTACTATCGATACTTGACGACGTGATATTTGACGATCATATATGACAAAATAAAAATTAATATAACATAAATATTAATAAACTTCTAAGTAAAGTTAACCAAAAGTTATGTAATTAATTACGCATCGTGTGAACACCCTACAGATTAGGTATACACACACACACAAACACGCGTGCGGCGGCGTGGTGTTGTATCAGCACGCCGCCGCACGCGTCCACACTTATGTTATTTATACGGAAATTTGGTCAAAAATTAAGTGCCTATTTTTTTTACATAATTCGAATGAGAATCAGGTACCGAGTATTCTCCTTAAATATTGATAGTAATTCACCAGTCACCCTGTATATTAACGTATTTTCCGTGGTTCAATCTATCTCCTAACTCAATTGCCTAGCATGGTCTACGAAAACAGCTGAAGTTATTAACAGAAGTTTCATAGTTATAATTTACTAGCTTTCCGCACGCAGCTTCGCCCGCGTGGAGTTCGGTTATATCGCGTTTCCAAGAAAACCTTTCAAAAGTCTGGGATTAAACTTTTCCTATGTTTTCTCTCAAGGTCAACTCTATGTCTGTACCAAATTTCAGTAAAATCAGTTCAGTGGTTAAGGCGTGAAAGCGTAACATACAGACAGACACACAGACAGAGTAACTTTCGCATTTATAATATTAGTAGAGAAGTAGAGATTAGTAGAGATAAATAGTTCTTACATACATATTTTATCTTCAACTAAATTTATTGTCAATAAGAAAATAATTAATATTGAAATGATAAATTAAACTCCTCGTCATAATAGCATTGGAACAAATAATTATTTCTTTTGGTTTTAGTATCAAATCTAATTCATTCCACATGTTTCAATAGTTGAGAATAATTTGACGACGAGTAAAATGAAGTAGATGCTAAGCCCTGAGGGTGAGCTCCATTCAATCGATTTTAATTAATTCCCTGTTGATACGCTGCACAATATTAAAGCGATTAATAAATTAACTGTATTAATTCATAGTAATACATCTAAAAAATATTTTCAAGAAAGTTTGCTATCATTTTCTTTTATAGATCCCATCAATATAAAAGTTTAAACCGACATACATGATTTATAAGTACACACATAGTTTTAAAACTTGTAACATTATTATAATCTACTTGCATATTAAAACTAAAATGTTACATTTAGTTAAATATTCTTACAAGTCAATCTCAAGTGGAGTCAATAATTGACTCTATTCAATTATTTGATATTTCATAACTCAAGTCAATAGATGGCGCTATGCTCCCATTATGACGGTTAAATTAGAAAACTTAATAAAACTCAAGTCCGGACACGATTGTTTAGAAGATAAAATGACTCAAAACTGAAAGTCACAGGTTCGAGTCCTGTTTCCTTTGATGTATTTTACATCCCATATTAAACATCTGGATTAAAATTCAACAATATTATACCTGAATTTAAATTCAACAATTTTTATAATATATAAAACCGGAATAAAATATCGTCATAACAAACGATTAAAATTCTAAAGATTGGGCGGATGAAGTGATGAATCTAATATTTTTACTAAAATTACAAAAATTATATATAATAATATCCAGCGGCGGCTGTACCTTAAGTGCACTCGTGCGCTGAACCACCAATTCAAAAGATTTAAAAATTACAAAATATTACTTCATCATTATTTTTAAATTACCATTTTAATATTTATTTTCTAAACATACAAAAACGTATAAAAATTAAATTTCTAATTATAGTCAAAAAGTTTGAGCGCTTTACTAAACTAATATCTCGTGCGCTTCGGCGAGTGCACGAGGCCTGCTAATACATTTTGTATGAGATACGCATCAATACGCCTGATGCGTGAGACAAAAAATAGTTCATAGAAATATACCGAGTATCGAGTCGGTTCTCGAGCGCCGCACGAGCGGCCGAAGATTACCGAGACCACCCGATGTACATATGACGAATTGGAATTGAAAAGAATCAAAACTTTTCTCCGAAATACCTTGAACTTGCTAAATGTACTTTCTATGCTTAGTATTGAAAAAAATATATATACAAACAATACCCGATTTTAATAAAAAGGTGATGGAACATTTCGCTTCAGAAAAATGTCGTCGCATTGATTTAATGTATAAAAAACAAACATATTTTATGTCAATTGTTGTTTTATTGCATTTTTTAATTTTAATATTTTAGTAAAGTGCACCACCAGTTCTATAACCCACCAGCCGCCACTGATAATATCTCTAGATTCACTAAAAAACAAACAAAACAAAGTTAGTATTGGAAATCTATATTAAAACATGTTACCACCTTCGTAAGTATTTTCGTATAATAGAAACAATGTTTCCAATTTAAAAATAATTTCGTTGACAAATATACAAATCCAAATATTATCTTAACAATTAATTAAAATACTTGGTGCGCAATAGTTAAAACTCTATCATTATCTGTATATGCCGCGGTGCCACCTCTCTCGCTCGGGCAATGAACACTCAACACAATGTTAGGTACCGTACTCCACCGAATTTTAACAAATTTTATATGCGTACTAAAAGACCTGGCGAACTTCGTATCGCCCTATAATAAAGAAATATCAATTACGTTTTTTTATTTATATTTTTGGAGTTTACCTGTAAGCCATAAATCTCCATGTTTTGAAGTGCGACAGAATGATTGACATATTAGTTAGTTGTCAAAGCTAATGTAAAAAAAAACGTTTGTATGGGAAATAGAAAAGGGCTGTTTTTATGGTTTTCCCAGAAATGAATCAATTTTTTTCAGCTTTTATACCTTCCCTGAACCTCCACGAACATTTCAAGACTATGATAAGATAAATCCGTTCAGCTGTTCTCGAGTTTTAGCGAGACTAAGGAACAGCAATCCATTTATATATATATATATATATATATATATATATATATATAGAAGATATATAGAAGATTATGTAGGGCTGAGAATCGACTACTATCTATTTTTCATACCCCTAAGCTGTGAGGGTTTTTCACCGTATTTTTTTTTTTCATTTTGGACGAATTTTTTTGTTTCTACGTTTTTTTTAAGTATGTGACGTTAAAAATACACATTACTCTCAGTTTTTTTTATCACAAACCCCTATTTTGCCGTTTTTATACGCAGACGAAGTCGCTTGCAAAAGCTAGCATAATATATATCTTCAGCTGTTGGTTATTCTATGGGACTTAGAGATTTTCAAACGCTATTTTCTATGAGGCTTACAACGAAATAGTTATATAGGTAAAATCCTAAATAATACATGGTAAAATCCTATGGTAAAATCCTAAAAAATACATGAGCCGGAGCAAACGAGACTTCAATTTCAATACTAGTAAACAATATTTGTAATTATTTTAATTATAGATTCTAAAACATTAAAATATACATATTTTAAACTAGTTTGATTTCTTCTTGGAGTTTTTTTACACATTGCTAACACAGATTGAAATTGCATGATCTCTCTGGATACCAGTTATTATTATTTATTTATTTAACAAATAAAAAACCTTTTCTATTCTACTCTAGTCTACTCTATTCTACTCGGAGTAGAAAAACAATTTCAACAAATACCTGTAGACTCCCAGCGGGTAAACTCCTCGGTTCAGAAATCTGTCTCGACAATTGTTCGGTTCCCTCTTGAAGGTGACTGACCTCTGCTAGCATTGCCACTTCACTCTCCTATGTTCAGAAAAAATATCTCATTGACAAATACTTAGTAATACTTAAATTCCATATATCTATGTATCCATTTTCTAAAGATCATATTGATAGAACAACTTGTATGTATTCATTAATATTCTTATTCTAATAGATTGCAATTAAACACTCATAATTTAGATTCTAGTCTCATCTGAAATAGCAAGTGTTATTGAGTGAATGTGATTTTTCCGAGTCATATGTACTTTCTAAGAGTATTTAGACATCACTGATTAATGCATTCCCAAAGAGGGTTGATGTCAGGCAGGCGGCCGGTCGTAAAAACAATTAGGCAAAACTATTCACAACACGTAAGGCAGAACCTGGCTAAAGCTGGGAAATTGCCAGGTAGAAGAAGAGAAGAGAATGGTCGAGTCGAGGTTTATTTTATTCGATAGCCAAGTTATGTGTGGTGGTTTTTATCACATGCAAAATTTTAGGGCCCCAAAGAAGAACCCATGTCGAAAAAACTTTTCGGTACAAAAACTCTTGACGCTTCACTCAATGTACATCGAAATTTTTTTAGCGAAACGAGAAAAAATAGAATGGACATCTTCTAGTATATTTATACCTCGGTCCTCGGTCCTCCTAGTATATTATCTGTGATATCTAAATCCATTTCGGTCTGTATAATCCTACTAATATTATAATTGCGAAAGTTTGTGAGTGTTTGTGTGTTTGTTACTCTTTCACGCTCAAACGGTTGAACCGTTTTTGATAAAATTTTGTATACAGGAAGCTGACGTCCAGGAATAACACATAGGCTACTTTACATCCCGGAAATCCGCGGGTAACACCGCGGGGCGCAGCTAGTATATGATAAATCTGTTCATGAAAAACCATGACCTACCACAACAGGGCTTAGAAGAGACACGAAGTTACAGAATCGGCTCCGTTCTTCTATCAGAGCGGCCTTTACCGCCTTTTCTTCTATCTCCGCCAATTGCTGCTTTCGTTCTTGGATATCCTTTATAACATAATACATCAGATATATCTTACACTACATACATATACTGCAAAAATTATAATCAAACCTTTATTCATGCTTAATGGCTATAAAGATCAGTCAATCGATAAATAAGCAGCTATTATAATAACCCATGAAACAAAATCAGTTTTGTCTCGGTACGTATGAATAATCGAAATTCTGTCTTAGTACAATTACATTATAGTTTTTATTTTAAGCTAACATAACAAAAACGTTTAAACCAATACAATTTAGCATCCAAACAAAATGCATTTATTAAAAATATACTAATCTTTGAATCCTCTAACTAGCAGACACCTAAAAGGACTATTGTCTTTGCAGCATTGAGGCATTGAGGTCCTACTTGATAGCATTTTATTTATGTGTAAGGTGGCAAACGAGCAGACGGCCTACAGTAGTCACCGTCGCCCATGGACATCCGCAACAACTCTGTGGCGAATGCGTCGCCAACCTTAGATTTTGAAGAAAAGGAAGGGGTGAGAGTAAGGAAATGGCAGGAGAGGGTGAGAACAGGAAAAGGGTAACCGGCTATCTCACTCATCGGAAGAAACGCAGTCATTTAAGGCTACTTCACGCCGACCTTTTGTAAGAGGGTGGTACTTCCCCGGTCGAGCCAGCCCATGTTTGAGCTGTAGTTATTTGACCACGGCTAGGCTCTAAGACCTATAGATTATACCTATGGTATAATTTTCATACAAACCTGTGAACACACATCTGCCCTTCGTTTAACATCTGGATTTGTCCGCCTGGCTTTCCTAGCGTGTCTCTGAGCATTATGGACCCGCTTGCGAAGCTCAGCCCTAGCTCGTTTACACTGCACCGGTACCATTACAACCGCGACGCCATTCTTCAGCCCGCTCCGATAATGGAGCTATAAGACGCTCCGTTAACAGAAATGTCTCTAGTGGAGAGAAAAGTTTAATATTTTAAATAGCACTATTTATTTAGGATTATACATATATCTGTTTTGGAGTTTACTTTGAGTAATGTGTGTAAATGAAGAGTTAGGAATAATTCTATTTTTTTCAATAACAACACTTATTCGCAAAAATATCCAATAAGAAAAATAACCAATAAATATAATTGATAATAATTGAATATTTTCCCCACAATCTTAATGATTTGACACAAGAACATATTTTTTAAGTTATAAACTGTTTTAGCTTGCCAGATTTTTTGTTACAAAATAAATTACATAATAAACAATATCTAATACGATTATTACTTTTGAAATATTCCAAGGTTTCCTATAAACATAATACATATAAGTAACATGTATCATAAGTACATAATGAATATGTAATGTACCTGATAAATATTTTCATTCTAGTCTCTATAGCCCTGTGTCTAAGACAGACCCTTGTTAAAGCCGTTCCAATTTCCTTCGTGACTCCTGTAACAAACAAACGAACATTCATTAATTATTGTACTACAAAATTTCTGCATATAATATTGTTTTCCAACCAAAAACATGTTTATCATTAAAAGTAATTCTCCCGCTAGGGATATCGTTAATTAAGATTTATTGACATAGCTTTTATATGAGAAAAAATGGTATATGCGTATTAAAAATAATGACCAATCTACAGTATTATACGTGTTATCTTAACGAAAAATATCCTTTAAAGATTTCTTGGAATAATAATGTAAAGAGAATATAGAAATATATAAAGTGGATGTAGCTTAATGAATAAACAACGCGATATTATTGCTAATAAATAATTAATTATTAAGTTTCATATCTTTAATTAAACTGATATCGTCAACATATAACTCAAAATAAATTCCATATAATATACATATATATGTATAAGTATCAAACATCATTATAATAGAAGAATTGTTTATAAACAAAATAAGAAGAAATATTTCTATTGACGTGTTTTGCGTCAAGATATCCTATCTTGACGCAGGTTTCAAAGTATGAGACAACAGAATCAGTATGTTTGAAAGATTGACATTTACCAAGAACCTGACCGAACGGGTGATCTCATTTATAAATTAGACAAAAAAGGAGATCAATTTAATAAATTTATGATCTTACTAGGAGACCTGGCGAACTTCGTATCGCCCTATAATCAAGAAATATCTGTTACGTTTTTTTATTTATATTTTTGGAGTTTACCTGTAAGCCATAAATAATGATTGACATATTAGTTAGTTGTCAAATCGAATGTCAAAAAAAGACGTTTGTATGGGAAATACATAGAAAAGGGCTGTTTTTATGGTTTTCCCAGTAATTAATCAATTTTTTTCATCTTTTATACCTTCCCTGAACCTCCACGAACATTTCAAGACTAAGATATGATAAATCCGTTCAGCTGTTTTCGAGTTTTAGCGAGACTAAGGAACAGCAATCCATTTTTATATATATAGAAGATTTATTTGAATATGAGAATCATATAATAAAAAATCACCAAAGGAAAAAAACGTGACAGAATCATCACGTTTGATAGTGATAGATGTAAAAAAATTACGACGGCAATAGAAACAAAATGAAAACAAAATAAGTTCATTAAGACATTTCTTTGAATTATTAATATAATAAAAATAAACGATATATTAGATGGAAATTGATTTGATTTATTTATATACTAGCTGTGCCCGCGACTTCGTTCGCGTGGAATAGTGACTATGAGCAGCGTTTTTCTTTTAAATATATATACTTATTTTTATTTTGGATCATAATCACAGTCATTTTGGGTAGCTATAATAATGCTTCTCTATATACAATATTAGACGTATGGCCATCGGGGGTGAAAGCATACAGGCTGCTGGGATTGCTAACACGGGACAGAGCCACATACAATTGACACACCCGGTCGAATATTGAACGCAGTTCTTTAGTTCTTTAATTTGACATAACTTTTTTATTTATGAACCGATTGACATGAAACAAACACTAAAGCATAACTGAAGCATACCACGTGAAAACCGCATCCAACTCGGATCAGCCGTTTCTGAGATTAACGTGAACAGACAAACAGACAAAAAAAAAGTTAATTACATTTTTGGGTTCGACATCGACATAACAATAACCCCTGCTATTTTTTATTTTTATTTTCAATGTACAGACAGCACTTTTCTACAATTTTATTATATGTATAGATTTAATAACTCAAGTCAATAAATGGCGCTATTCTCCCATTATGACGGTTAAATTAAAAGTCATAATGAAAACTCGAGTCAGGACACGATTGCTTACTTTATAAAATGACTGAAAACTATTGCTTATATTAAATATCTGAATGTAAATTCAACAATATTATACAGCTGACTATAGAAGTGCTCAGTTTTTTAAGTATATACATGTATCAGGAAATTATTTATAATATATAAAAAAAAAAAAACATAAAATATCATTAATATAAATAATTTAAAAATATGTGCGAACAATGAAGAGTGAACTAAGTGATGAATCGAATATTTGCACTACAATTACTAATATTATACATAATATCAATAGAGTAATGAAAAAACAAAGTAGGTAGTATTGAAAATCAATTTTAAAATATGTAACAATTTAGATAGTATTTTCGTGTAATTTTTTTAATAATTTCATGGACAAGTATATAAATTCTAATTAATTTTTTTTTTTGCATTTAGAAAAAAGTTTTTTTTTGTTAAAAGTTAAAATTCTATCATTCGCTTTATTTGCAAACTTTACTAACGCAAAAAATTCAACTCTAGAATCAAATGAAACTCGATATTGTAAAAGTTACTGATAGTCGACTAAAAAATGTGTTTAATTAGTTAAAAAAATGTAAAAAATTAATCAAGTCAAAGTCAAAAATATTGGCTTTTACGTAGATTTCTCATGACACAAACAACTCTTAGGCCTCGGCCTCGAATTTTGCGGGCAGCGGAGCGGCAGCGGGAGCGGCAGGATCTTACGCGTATAATCAAATGGACCGACCCTCGAATACAGCGGTGCCCGCTGCCCGCTAGTTTGGAGAACAGTATGCGTTTCCGTGCCACCGCCGCCGCCGCTCCGCTGCCCGCAAAATTCGAGGCCGAGGCTTTATAGGGAATGCTCGTAAAGTGGAATGAGCATAGCAGAAGTTTCTATAATAAATAGTGTTCTGACTCGTATTTTACTACAATCACAAAACACACGCAAACTTCGTTATTTACACCTTGAAATATAATATTCATACTAAGGTCCTGTAAATATATATGAATTTAAAATGTATGGTTTGTAAGTTGAAAATAAATAGGTTGGTTTAATTGAGTAAAATTATTTTAATTTATGAGAAATTAATTATTTATTATTTTATTTGAAGCATCTTCATAACAGATTCTGATGATAGATATATTCAATGATTAATTTATTTGTGTTTAATTGTTTGAATAATTTAATAGTATTTTTTACGTATTTATTACTTTTATGTTTTGTTAAAAGCGATGTTATACGCTATACGCATGTAAGGGTAAAAATTTCAGATTTAAATAATATTCACTTCATATATTAATTGGTTGAGAGTTTAAATTCTTTATTAACGAATGATTTTATTAATATTATGCGATAAATTTAAAAGTTAATCATAATTATACTATTTCATATACTATGCGTTCAATGTAGCTTCGTTTGCGTAAAATTATGCTTTAATCAGCTAAAAAATTTTCGTCAACTTAATAACGTTCATGCCATTTTCATGCATTTTTTTGTGAGTAGTGAAAAACTCGTATCTATAATTATATGTATTTATGTAAGGGTTCCAAATAATTGCATCCAGATATATGTTTATTTTGTATGGCAAAAGTATATATTTAAACCAGTATATATATTATAATCTTATCTGGAAATCTTACTGTAAAACGTTACAATATATATAACTAGATTTTGCCGCGACTCCGTCCGCATGGAATAGTGACTTACGGCAGATTTTTGGTTCTGCCCAAATAGTTCCCGTTCTTATGGGGTTTTCGGAATGGTCGAGTTCCCGTAGAATTTTCAGGATAAAACCTGTTTTTTTTTATTCACAATGAAGTACTCTTAACCAACAACATATTTATTTGTTTATTTGAATAAAGATTAATATTATTATGTTGATACAACTTAAACAAATTATTTCGACCAAATTAGGTACCCTAAAAACGGTTTTTGTGATTTAATCTTAAAAGATAAACATATACTGTCGCGGACTGTTTTTTTTAGACCATTAAAAGAGCTATTATTCTTTAGTACATATTTTTTGTGTATCTTGAACCGTTTTCACGGCGCACGCAACGGAAGGCTTCAAAGATGAAATAATTTCTCCCGTTTTTTACACATTTACCACTATATCTTTGCTCCTATTGGTTGTAGCGTGATGTAATATAGCCTACAGCCTTCCTCGATAACTGGACTATCCAACACAAAAAGAATTATTCAATTCGAACCAGTAGTTTCGGAGATTAGCGCTTTCAAACAAACAAACAAACAAACAAACAAACTCTTCAGCTTTATAATATTAGTATAGATAACTGTATAATGATTATTGCCACTATAAAATAAAATTTATATTTTAAAGTTTTTTCTATTTATCGTTTCATGAAATTAATTATATGACTTCACCAAGGAAGGGTCTTTATAACATACGTAATTATAGATTTTGCAACTGTTTAATAGTAATAGTGTTTATTTATTTATTTAAATATTATATATGATAGTTAAATATGATTAATAATACTTTAAACAAAATAAGTATAACATTTTATCACATTTTGATATTTGATTAAAACTAATTGTAACAGATCGCTCTTTAATTATCATTATTTCTAAATTTTAAATTTGGGGATATATGTAATATTAATAATTTTAAATTTGTATGAATTACCTATATATGA